GGGATCATTACTATAGTAAAACTTGATGGTACAAATTATTTGGAGTGGGCACAATCAGCTAAGATGGCTATTGGTGCCCGTGGAAAATTAGGGTATCTCACTAGGGAAGAGAAGAAACCTAATACAGACTCTTCCCGATGGGTGCAGGAGAATTACATGGTAATGTCCTGGTTCTGTAATTCTATGTTACCTCATATTGCAAAAAAATTCCTATGGGTTAATACTGCTATGGAGATTTGGGATGGAGTAACTGAAACCTACTCTCAGAAACAAAATGAAGCCAGAGCCTATCAATTAAGGAATTAGGTGATAAGTATGAAATAGGGAGAAAAACCTCTTGTTGTGTATTTCTCCATGCTGAAAACCCTATAACAGGACATAGATCACTTAGAAACTGTGGTATGGGAAAGTGTAAATGATGCAACAACCCATCACAGACTGGTAGAGAGGAATAGGGTTTTTGAGTTCTTGGCAGGGCTGAACCCTGAATTCGACATTGCTAGGCAGCATATTCTTTCTAGGGAGGGTGTGACACTCTCTAAAGCCTATGCCTTTGTCTCTGGAGAGGAGAGTAGGAGGAATGTAATGTTGAGACAGCCTGGAATTGAACAGTCGGCTATGGTTGGTACAACAAAACCTAAGCCGAATGGAGACAGGGGAAGTAGTGAGACTAGAAGGGAAAATAAGAAGGACTTGGTGTGTGATTATTGCAAGAAGCCTAAGCATACCAGGGACACTTGCTGGAAGCTTCATCCAAATCTTATGCCTGCCCAGATAAGGAACAATAAGGGAAAATGCAAATGTAGCCACTACAGAAGACTCTTCGGTCCCTCTTTCCCAAACTGATTGGGAATCCATTGTAATAGCAGCAGTGAGGACAGAATTGGACAGGTTTGGACAGCTTATGAGTAAGAAAGATTTACCCAGATCTATCCTTCCAGATGGACAACAGAATGCAGGAACCAACTACACCACTTCCTTTGCACATACAAGTAGTTCATATGCAACTGCAAATCTTGCTTCCACTTCAGGTAAGGAGGGACCTCCCTAGATTATAGCTCAGGAGCATCTAAGCATATGACTAATTGTTATGGGCCCGCGAATAGGATCTCGTCACGGGTCGGTCCATGGGGAAAACCTCCTGTTTTCCCTTGTTCCTCCCCGCTCTTGATGAACCTATCTTGGCGCCTTAATGGTGATTTGTCCAAGAGATCACCTAACTCTCATTGCTCTCTTTCTTGACTGAAATTTTGGATGCCTTTATTCAATATTCTCAGCTCCTTAAATAGGAGATTACAAGAGATAAGAGTC